TTTAATCGAAACTTTTTCATCGGATCGGATCGTATCTATCGAAGCATTTTTTCAAGATTCGTTATAATTTTTTCGTTTCTCATACTGTGTTTTCATTCTCAACAATTTATTTTTTGTTGTGTTATTAATAAGATAACTGGTAAAATTATAGGAGGCGGAGGTGGTGCAGGAATCGATACAGCAGGTACGTTTGCATTTGGACGAAATCAAAACTTAATTTGTTTTCGTAAAATTCTCAATCTCACAGATTAGGGGCAATCCGGGGAATTTTCTCCCACATTTCAAACACACTCAGCTAAACTTTTCTATTTTTTATCAAATTCTTAGGTGGTGGCGGTGGCGACGGTAGCTTCAGAGCTGGCAACGAAGGTATGATACCGTGAAATATGAAACCTAAAAACAAATTATTCACAAAATTCAATTTCAATTTCTAGCTGCGGCTAATGTCAATGCAGATGCATTCACAGTTACATATCCGATTACTAGCGTAACGTATATCCCATCAGCCATGACTTACACTTACACTTTGCCTGGTATTGGTGTAATTACTGTTGATCGGAATGGTATGACTTATCCGAATGTTTGCAATGCAATCCAGACTGTTAAATTTGTCGTTGCTTTTTCAGGGGCGATAACTGGCACAGCACATCCTGGCTTTGGACTCAGCACTGCGGCCGTAACTCCAGATGTTTTCGACCCGGTTAGGGAAGATGAACAAATTGCCGTACAACAACCGGCCGTACAATTGGTTCCTGCATATAACTATCAGCCTACGACAACAGAGCCACCCAAAACTAACAAAAAACGGAAATCGTCGAGCAAAGGGAGCGGTTTGAAAAAGTCAGGAAGCAATTCCCAAATGAACCCAAACAATAGCCCGCTCAATAATCAAGTCAATTCCAATACACCAAACGATGAAAAAGATTCATTTGTAAATGCACAAATTGTTGACTCTAAACCATTAACTTTATCTAATGAACATACTCCTCAAGATCAAATCATAACTCCAACCCAAAACTATGAAAATTTTGTGCCAACAGAAGTTACCGAAACAGAGGGAGCAACTGATGTATATAATTCTTCAAAAAGAAAGCCAAGACAATAATTCTTTTGAATTATTCGAAAGTCACGAACATTCATGTAGCAGGTAGCAGTCAATTGAACTACCGAAAACTGTGTCAAACTAACGATGTAATGTAATTATTTATTTATTTATTGAGCAATAAAAATAAAAACTTTGAAAAAGTTCGAAAATTATTTAAAAAAAAAACTCTTTTATTTTGCCCATTTTAAATGGACATTTAGACAACTCAATAACCTACCACCTCCTTGAATTTTGTTCCGTTTCCTAACATATATGGACTAGGATAGTTCGAACTATCGAAAAATGATCAACTTTTTTTTACATCACAATAAATAATGGATATTGCTGCATCTATCATTCACGGTCAATCGATGGAAAGGTGAATAAAACCATGAGTAAATATTTTGTTCAAAAAATTATTACGATGTATCCAATAGGTTGATACACATTCAAGAAACTAAAGAGAGTTTTCGTCTAAATTAAATCCATTTTTCATATTGATAATTAACATGTGCCGCTTGAATTTACAGAACAACCAGAATTTCAATGGCTTAAATTGAATTCGATTGATAAAAATAAAGGCAGTTTACGTTTAGTTCGTTTGAATTACCTTATCAATTTGGAATATGGTAACTGACATCACAAGCATATACTATAGATGAGAACGACTAAAATGAACAACTCATTGTGGACAACTTACCCTCTGGACGAGTCATAAAAACGGATGGTTTTCGCCAACAACTCCTTATTTCGTCGATATCCATTCGATGGATTCAATTGCAGCAATAAATGTTGGAACATGAGAAAAAAAGGCCTGATTATACAAACAAATCGATATGAATAAAACACAACCATTACACCGTTCAGAAAGAAATAAGATCCACCGTAGAAGAAATTCAACTACAAAGGAGTAAAAGGTGAAATTGTTTTACTGTTGAATTTCTGATGGAAGCTCGGTTTTGTTTCCGAAGAAAAATAAATTTTTATAGCTGCCGTCGTTTCGGCAATATATCCGATTAGATAATCTGTGTTCCAAGGCAAGCTGGTATACGAAACAAATCAAACCTTAATTGAATAACGAAAAATGTTGAAATTTCACCACTTCACTCACACAACATGATATGGCACAAAAACATGTTTCCGCTCAAATTGTCCGTACCGGCGATAACAGAGTAGCACAGAAGTCACAACGCCACCAGTTAATAAACCATAATATCCACCGAATACAATCGCAAAGTATCGCTTTGAGATTCGTTCGCATCTGTTGTCTGCTTGTATATGAAATTGAAACGATTCTTCCTTTTCGTCTGAATATAAAGAAATAATATTTTTAGTTGGAATCAGTTGGAATAAAAGCCCTATCCATTTATGAAAAATCCATTTTTATACATACATTGTAGGGCATCGTATAGTCTAAAGTTTTGAATAAATGGATTATAAGCTGAAGTTTTAATCACAATAAAAATCTTACTTGCTTCAAAGATTTCCGATAAACTTGAAAAAATAACATACTCAAACGACTCAAAGTTATAGCAGCCGCAAACAAAAAGTGTTCGGAATCCTTTGGCTTAAAATTGAAAAGAAAAGCCACTGACTCAATACTAATAAACAGTTGTGTTGAAACTTAAATGCATGTTATGATAATATAAATATTCAACGGGGCCTGGTGAAAAAGATGTATTAATATGGATGATTTTCCTCTATTAAATTAATAGAGGTTTGTTATTATGATAGTTTGTGGTATTATTCTAGGGTTTTGCCATACATTTTTCATTTATTGTAATAATGACAAATTATTAACCCTTTGACTGGTCGATTCTTAGATATCATTTTATACAAAAATAGTTCGTATTGTGAGTGCACGTGCGTCGCGTGGTGAAAAACTCGTTCTAATATAGACTGTTTATTTCTTTTTCTTTCTAAATAAGTTATGTCCTTGGGGCTTCTTACTCCAGACGAATGTTTCATATAAATACGTATAACCACGTATAATTGCCGTATATTCTGTGCATATTTCATATATAACCCGCGTATACGCCATATATTTTAACCATTTCGCATATAAATTTGTATTGGCGAATAGAGATAAAAGCCCCTAGGTTATGTCACCGGTTTAAAGCGTTTGATTTCATCGATCAAATATGCCGAACACATGTCAGATATTGACTATCGTTCAAGCGGTTTACGTTTAGTATGCTTTAAAAATGTATTGATGCTTTAAAGTTATTATGGTTTTATTGTTTCAACAACTAGATCTAATCAACTTACTTAATTGGATCAAATTAGTAGTCAGTAATATGTTTGTCATGGCAATATTTAGTTGCCACTGTAAACTTTTATTATGTTCAAAGCCAAACGATATCGATCGGGGTTTTCCACTTATGAAATGAATTTTTGAGGAGAGTTCAAATTCAATTTTAAGACAACGGAGCTCTCTAAGAATTTTTTTATACACAAAATGAAACGAATTTAGTGTAATTGAAAGTGGATTGCGGAATTTGCATCGAATTTCAGGCGTTTTTTTTTGTTTGATACCTTCTTATCAAACCTTAACCCAATTATGGGAAAATAATTGGTAAAAAATCTTTCTAAAAAAATGACTTTAATCTTATTTCGTGTTTGGGTAGTGCAAGTATGCATAGGACCCATACTGATGCACAATCAAAAACTTGACGATGGGAACTAGAACTGTGCGTGTGAAATTTTTTTCCGGCACCATCTTTCATTGCATCAATTGGGTCTGCGTAGAATAGAAAAACTGAAAATAGAAATAAATTCATCGAAATGAAAATGTTGTTCATTAAGAGGATTTATGTTAAACCCTTTGTTGATTATTTGAGTACACTAACTCCAAGCGATTATTCAAATTGGCTGTTGAAATTGATTCATTTTTTTTCTCGAGATCAGTTCGACTTTTTTTTCTAATAAGAATTTGTCGAATGGTATGATAAATGCGATCGATTGGTTTTTTTTGTACATTGCAATGGCTATTTTAAGAGGCAAAGAACAGATTATGGAACATTTTTGACCCCACAAAAAAAACATTTCAACATTTTTCAAAACTGCAGTTATGATTTTTTTGTTAAAATAGCCATTGGTACATTGATTAGTTGATTGAACGAAGTTGATTAAAAAAAATATCATCATCTCATTAGAACGTGTTTAGTGTTCAAACAAGAATTTATGATCGTTGAAGCTCGTAGTCTCGCTGAATTATTCTCATCAATCCACTGAGATTTCGGTGCAGAGACAAAAAAGACTTGTCAATATTTGTTTTTACATTAGCATACGTTATATTTACGTTCGTTCCAAACCATATATGACGTTCCGTAGCACGTTCCATTAGTATAATGGTTTGGCATCGAACCTATTGGTAAAAAACTAATTTTCTAAACGGGTTCCCCCATGCTGAAAACAAATACGAAATTGATTAAAGCACAAAAAAATCATTTTATCTCTTCATCATACTTGTAGATCTTGACATTTTTACTAGCCGAATTATAGACAAAAAAAAACTGATAACCAAAAGTACATGAGATTCAATAAAATAAAAACGAAAAAAAGAGATACGATTATCAACATTGTCAATCAAACAATCAAATTAAATCAGCTCCTATATAAATTATTCGAGATACATGACTAATTAACAGTTCTGTTTTAACTTCCGCGATTTTAGCAGCAGTTCTTTGCTCAACGGTAGTTAATTGTGTTTTCAGTATCATTTAATCACTTTCTATTTCTTTTGAAATAATTTTTCGTCTTTTGATTCAACTATTCGTTCCCATCCTCCACATAAAGTGTGAAGTTATAGTATTATGATTATATTTTTTCGACTTTTGTTCTGTGACCTTGATTCTCTAAGAAAGTGGTTTTTAATTGGTATGTTTACAATTGGATAGGCTGTGACCGGTAGACCGAGCAAAACATTAGCGGAATACATTCAGTGTAAAAAAAATTAGCTGGGCCAAACGGTTTCGCAGATGAATGGTCGAAAATTCAGCCCGAAATGCAGGAGCCCAAAATGAAAATATCAAAAGAATCATATAAAACATTGAAATAAAATAACTTGAGTTGGAAAAAAATCAAAAGTGAAAATGTAAATAATGACCCATCGAATTAATCCAACCCATTATTTCGAACATTTTGGCTGGCCATTGACTAAAAATCTAGCAGAAATGAAATATTACGAATATAGCAGTGGTAAATACACTTATTTCATTGAAATATTTGTGACTATTCTTCCCCATTTTCCCCCAAGTCAAAAATGATTATTGCCTCCATATAAAATTGTTAAATTCCATTAAATAAGCCCGTTTCAGTTGTTTGCCGCTACAAAAAAATTGAGAAGCTGCTAGTCATTTCAATTTCACACGGGGTGTCATATCGTATGAAATCAATATTTCGAAGAAGAAATTCAATTTTCGTAGAAAAAACGTAGAATTTTTTTCCAAACAAATAATAATCAAATCTAAGCATTGGTTTCTATCGTTTTTTCATGAAACAAACAATAATAATGCCAAAATCACTCAAACATTCAGGGCAAGTGTACTTAAAAAGTTTATTGACACGTACACCTAGGAGTACGCATCACAGCATATATTCGATTGTATTACATCATACATATTACAACAACAACAAACCCATTGGGCAACTGAACAACAAACAATAGATAAAACACCGTGAATAACGTAGTCCAAAGCATGCGCCTTCTAAGCATGTAGCCTCCTTAGCTCAGGGGCAGAGCGTCGGTCTTGTAAACCGAAGGCCGAGAGTTCAATTCTCTCAGGTGGCATTCCTTTTTTTTTATTTCACGCAAACCCAATTGTACGATGGAAAATGTTTTCGTGAGCATTATCATAATCAATTTTGATGACAAAAAATATTTTTTTTCAAAAATATAATACCCAAAACTCTATCTTTTAAGCTATTTTCAAGATATTCTATGTGTTTGAAATTAAAAAAAAAGTAATGCCACCTGAGAGAATTGAACTCTCGGCCTTCGGTTTACAAGACCGACGCTCTGCCCCTGAGCTAAGGAGGCTACATGCTAGGTAGACACTAGAAGACTTTTTTCACTGTGTGTTCTATCTATAGAGTCTGTCTATACATTTGAACTAGAACTTTTGAGTGATTTTAATATTACTATTATTTGTTTTAGGAAGCTTTATTTTTTTCACACACACAATTCATTTCAATGATGTGTTGCGCGTAGAGTCCCAATTTAATATTTTCGAAAAAATTAATTTTCAATCGAAACTAAAAATTATTTCCTTTTAAATCATTTTCAATAGTTTGTCAATCATGATAATTATTTGAAAAATTCATTTTTTTTCTTCAATGAACTTCCATCCACATTATTATTAAATTGATGCGTGAATTATTGCGTTCTAGGAACAATTGTTGAAAATGATGATGATTCCGGAAGAATAACCCAATATTTCATCTCTTTAACTTATTCTCTATTCTAGGTGTGAATCGGAAGAACGAACTGAACTCCAACAATTGCATAACAGCTTTCTGGATGAAGTCAATGGAAAATGTTATATGGAAGGTTGGTCTACGAAAGCATTTAAGCAATAATCCTGAATTCTCATTGAATTTTTAATTAAGAAACCAATTTAGAAAAACCAAATGATTTAATTTTTTTCATTCAAATTTTCTCAAGGGACAACAATCAATCCGCCTTTTGACCTAATTCGGTAGATTGCTGATGAATGCGATCACATTAATCGATTCTGGATGGACTTCGCAATTTTGAAATTATTATTTCCCAATTTCGATTAGAGAAAAAATCAAAATTCACAAAAATTGTATTTTTTTTTACATAAAAATCGTCCGTAAGATCTATCTTATCCCAATATCCACCCTATGATAAGACCGACTTGATGATCACAACATTATCGACAAATGAAAATTTAAAATGTATAAAAGAGCAAAAATTCGGTTTTCAAAAAATAGATAATAAAGAATGATAACGAATGAAAAAAAATGTGGATAAAGCACGTACGACGTGACCTAACAAGAGTAACGAAAATATATTATATATATAAGAAGATATTACAATTTTTCGAACTCATAGAAAAAATCTTTTTTCAAAAAAATCCCAATCTACGTCTCACATTATTGTTTCGTGTGTTGATAAGTTATCATTTTCCGCAAATGTTCATAAAAAGTTCTCTTGAGATTTTTATTTAAAAAAAGGGTTTGGATGGCAACAAGAGCTTGAAAGGAACTTCTACTGATTCTTTCTTTTGTCTTCCTGTTCGATTTTGAAAATACGTCTCGAGACAAACCTAACTAATATCGTTGATTCAATCACAATTGGAAGCAAAGAAAGTTATTATTGCTTCAATTAAGTAAAAAAGTTTCCATTGCATCAATATAATTTATGATTATCTTTGTAGAATCGATGAATAACAATTCCAGAAGCAAATGTGACAATATCCAATTAAATCGAAATTGGTTTTAATTTTAAACATTTTTAATAAATGAAGTTTCATCGGGGAAAAGTGTAATTTACCTTTTTACACAGATAGCAACCGATCAACAAAAGAAAAAATTCCAATAAAATATTTGAATAAATATATAACTTAGGCAATGTGTAGCATGCAATAGCTATGAATGCTTGCGTATCTGTAAAGGTTGAATTACAGTTTTGATATTGTTGCATTGAGTTAACAACAGATTGTTGTCAACAGTGATCCACGTGTATGATTTGTGATTTTAGATGATACGACTTACTGGGATGGGTTGAAATCAAGAATGTAATATTGCAATAATGAAAATAATATGGAAATGAGCGTTTTAATGAAATTTTTGTGGACGATGAAGAAAACGAATGGGCTAAAGAAACAGTATATATTTATGGAGCTTTGCATCCTAACTTCAATTCACTGTTGAATTGCAGTGCCGGTTGAATTTACCTTGTAATTCCTTGAAAATATCTTTTTTGGAAAATTCACAATGACTCGATTAATTCTGTTCAGTATTTTAGCTTTGACTTTGGTGAGTTGCAAATTTGAACAAAACCAAAAAACAAAAATGGAAAATTTTAACAAAAAAAAAAAACGAAAAAAAAACTTGTTTCAATTATATTTCGTACTGTTTCGATTAGATGTCAACTATAGCTAATGCAGACGACACTGCTGAAATCGAAGTTCTTAATCAAATCGACGTCACTGTTAAGGATGAGGCAAAAGAAGCGATTGGTACCGAAGAAACTTGGCTCAACAAGTACGTACAATCGAGTCAATTGAATCGGCAAAAGTTTTTGTTTGGTTTTTTCAAAACATTTTTTTAGATGTACATTTCTTTCGGCGGCAACAAAACCAAAGACATCTTTTTTGAAAAAAGGGTCCAGAGCATTGAAGAAATACGCTTCTAGGGTGAAAAAATCACAAACGTGAATATTTTTTAGTTTCATAATTGTTTCTGTGTTTTGTTCTTTTCTCTTACAAAAAATTACTGAAAAATCCCGTTTGCAGGCCGCAGTCTCAAGATGAGCAAATCAACACTCTGTTCACCAATATTGCCGGTCGAGCTAACCGAATTGTTGCCAATTTTGTAGCCCAATATGACCAAACACAAAAGAGCACCAACTTCACCGACATCCAATTCGAGAAGTGAGTGTGAAATGACAATGGGTTTTCCAAGTCATCGATTATTTTCTTCTTTCATACAAAATTTAAATTGAAAATCGAAAAACACCCTTAATTACCCTTTGTTAAAACTGTTTTTTGTTTTTAATCCTACAGAGTGAAAAGTAGCTTCGGTTCATTGGCCAGAAAATTGAGAAATCTTGATGAACAATTGCAAACTGACAATCCAATGGACCCGAGAGTTACAAAGGTAAAGCAATTCTGCACAAATCTGTTCCAAAATATGTTGATCATGCGATCGGTCGACCTCAAGAAGACCACATGGAATAAGCTCAAAAGGATGAAGAAACCGGGAGTCCTGATTGGTAACTTGGGACAAAAACTCACGGCAAAAACACAAAAGACAAACGCACAACCACAGCCGAAAACCAAGTAAATCGATCTAGATGTTTCGAATCGATTTGAGTTGATATTGCATTAATTACAGGCCATCGACCGCAACCTTTGCATAGCACTAACAAAACAAAGTAAAACACGAATTTGCGATGAGCTCATTCAGTGAAGTTCATTTCAATTTGTTTACGTCGTTAGACGCACTCATAAACGCGACTGAATGAACTCATCAACAATGTTCTGTGATGAAAAAAAACCATTTTTTTTACTTATAAAATTGACGTTTATCACCAGTTACGCTCTCACAATAAACAATTTTGCAAATTCGTGACATTTTCTATTTTTTTTTACATCTTTATTATTGAGTATAAAAAATATTCAATAGTTTGCGGTAAACATTGAACGATCTGAGTGACAACTTTTGACATTTGTCTCGCAGCGCTAGAAGTAAGCTGTCAGATGTTTAAATGCTTATCCTGTGCCATCGACCGCAATTTTATGAAATAAATTCATTTCTATGGTGTTAACTTGAATATCAAGAAAATAAATGGGCTTATTTTTTACAATCATAGGCAGTTTTATTTCAATAAATTTGTTTCATTGGGAGCGCATGGAACCGCTGTTTTCTCAACTTATGATATAAATTTAAGTGAACATAAACGTTGAAGAGAGGCTAAAGTAATAAGGAACTACTCGAATTTATGAGGCGAATCAACATCATCAATACATTGAGTATTGTGAAAACCGATGTCAAACATATCAAAATATGTATTTTCTGAATTTGTTTGTTCGGCTTGAATTTATCGAGAGAGAAAAAAAAATTGTGCACAAAATCACTCAGACGGAACACAAACTAAAAATGGTTTAGATATTCGCATGTTGACTGAAATGACACTTCCGCCGAAAAGATAATTATCATTATAATTAGCCATACAGTTTACATTACAACGTATAAAAAGCGACTGAGCTTCTGGATACTTTAGTTTGTTTTAACATATGCTCGACATTTTAGTAGTGAAAGAGGATTGTTGTAGAGCACACAGGCTTTTTTCTGTTTTACGGCATAAAGGGAAAATTTTATTTTTCAAGTAATTTTTTGAACTTAATTTCTTCAGGCGAAATCCAATAAATCGTCGTCAATAGATTTCTTCAGAGGACTAAATCTCGTTTCATTCAAAAATTTAACTTTTATTTCTTTTACCCACGAAAAATATAAGGCCCTGAAAACAACAAACATGCAGTCATTTCTTAAAGTATTTTTTGTCGTTGCTTTTATAACCACAACGAGTGACATCGTTCTTGCTGATACAGGTTGAGATTTTTATTTATTTCATCCTTTTTGGATCCAATAATTGAAGTGCAATAACTTGAAAATTTCATAGCTTCAATTAATTTCGTTCTCAATTGTAGGAGGTGTGAATATTGGCGGTGTACTATACGCTTTGCTCGACACTCTGAACACGGCTCTGCTCACAGGCGATATAAAAACTATAGTTGACACTTTGAAAGCTATTGCGGACATAATCAGAGAGGCGCTACCAAAATTTGCTAGTGAAAAAACACGTGAATTCTTCAACAAAGCACTTGATAAAATTGGCGAATTGATTGAAAATTTGCCGAAATGTAAAACGAATTTGCAAGAGGTGCGCACTTTCGCAAATGAAATAAAGGAAAAATTGAGGCAACGATTAATTGACCGAATTAAGAGAAAATCAACGTAAAAACGATTTTCAAAATGTATAGCCTGGAATAGGAAGAGTTCAGAAAAGAAATGGTTCTTCATCTTCTTCTCTTCTTTTTCTCTTCGTCTTCTTCATTTTCTATCATTTTTTAAATATAAAATTAGATGTTTTGTATTTTATGAACAAATAAAGATGAAGTGACAATAAAAATAAAGGTTTATTTTGTCTCAACTGAAACGATACGAATAAATTTCAAAACAGATTGATTTAATGTATTAAATATGCCATTCCATTGAAGTCTCCTATCAGAAGAATATTGCGCCTGTGAATTCAATTGGTTTGGTAATGATCACATTGGCCAAAAAGTGATGGAATACAACGAATAAACATGGCATGAACAATTTCATGATATCACCGATCGAAATTAACTACCGTGGGTAATTAAATGTGAAATAAAGTCAACTTGGCCTTTCAATGCTCTCTGAGTTCCATAACATGGAATGAAACGTGTGATGGCATATTTTCACACGGAACTTCGTTCCCAGTGCTCATCTTAAGGATTCTCTTTGAACCATTTGCACAGTTGACAAATGGCAATATCAATGAAGAGAAACGTTTCTTCAGATTTGATGTACTCAACGTGAAATTTGCTTTTAAAACTGTATCAAAATTGAATTGAGTTCTTTTTTTTCCATTTCACTGCCAAAAATCATTTTCGGGTTACAAATTACTGATCCATTCAAAAAGAACTTGGGAAAAAATGTGCACAGAAAAACAATAAAAATGTTTCAATATTTTTTGAATTGAGATAAATCATTCGATCACAGTTTAGGTCTCTTTTTCCCCCCGTTATTATTTTCATAATCTCTTTGTCCGTTCAATGATGCTGAACTAAGGTTTGTTGGGTGAAGTTACTTGATGAACGGATCGTTGTCACAGCCAATTCTTTTCAATAATTTCCCAAACGTTTTACCTTGAATTTAAATTGTGCGAGAAAAATGCCGTTTATGCATCGACACGATCGTTCACGCCACTTATGCATTGGCACAAAGCATTCGAAGTTGAACGAAAGTGTGTGGAATCTAAAAAAAAAACTGTAATTATTTCATGGGCCCCAATAAAATGTGAACAAATAAGTTTTTCTGAAAAGTAAGCGATTCATCAGCACAATATTAAAGGCATCATTTTAAGCATACTTGAAACGAAACCATAACTAATTCGCTATTCACGCAAAGAAGCAGAAGAGAAAAGTAAGGCGACGAAGAAGAAAAAAAGAAAAATCAGACGCAGAACAAGAGAAAGAGTAAAAGAAATCAAGTCAATTTTGTGTCGATATTCCAAAAGAGTTCGATTGAAGAAAAATTTAAATGAGAATTCGAGAAACTGCAAAAGTAAATAATTAATCCAAACTAGAAACATTGACTTGTGTTCAAACTTGAAACTTTCTAGTGTCACAACTATGCTCCAAATAGAATACCTACTTCTGAATCAGAAGTTCTGATAAAAATTCAAATGTTCATTCATAGTAATCAGTCAATGACAGATAGCTGAGGATATATGCTGAGCATAGAAACTCAGTAAGCTGAGATTGGGACATTTTGACTTTATGACGTGTAGTCCATATAAATGCATGATGAAATGCACGAAATTGTATGCGTGCCTTCATAAATTTGTATGGACTACACGTCATAAAGTCAAAATGTCCCAATCTCAGCTTACTGAGTTTCTATGCTCAGCATATATCCTCAGCTATCTATCATTGACTGATAGTAATTTTATCCAATTGAACAATATTTTGAGTAATTTATCTCCTTTAAATCATATGTCAATGGTTCGAAGCCAAACCAATTCATACGACTCACTTTCAAAGGCAAAACCAATTATCGGCTAAAAAAGGGAGATAAGGAGAGAAAAAGAGCGTGAGACAGAGAAAGCGAGAGACCCAGAGTGCGAGATAGAGAGAGATGGAGATAGCAAAAACACTCTTTGAGAGAGAAAAAAGAGTGTCAGATAAAGAATGCGTGAAAGATATCGTTCGCTTAAATCATGAAGTATTAACAAAGCAACACTCAAACGCTACACAAGAACTGTACAACGTACACATTTTGACAAATCCACTGGAATCGCATAAAACAAGCAAATTTATTGTTCTTCACGGTGATTATAGGTCTGGCATTCTGTTCCACATGAATTTTTCGCTTATTCAACGAAATATATATTTGTCATCCCGTCGCATGATGCTTGAAAATGTTCGATTTCCATTTTTCTCTCTCTCTCTCTCCATTGCTTTGTGTATGATGCTTACATGTAAACAAACCCGATGATTGGCCGGTCACACGCCGATCGCATTAAATTCTATGCACAATGCATACACAAACAAAAAGTAACAAGCATGAATTTGGCGGCTGTATGTTTACACTAGTCGAAACTTGGACCATTTTTCACGGTTGTTTATTGCTTTTTAAAAGTGATGACGTGATTCTTTTTTTTCTTCTTCACAGCGCAATGTTCTGATTTGTTTTGACTTCTTCCTTCCACTCAAATGTGTGCGCAGTTTCAATTGGGTCGAAATGTCAAACGTCACACATTCGTCGATTGATTCTTACGTGGTGAACATGAATTTTCACGTTTAGTGCATAAAAAACAAATATTTTGCGACGCAAAAAACATTCTACAACAAATCTTACAACTTTTGAGCAAATTTTCTTGTGAGTGACAAGTAGTGAAGCAAAAATGGCTTCACCAGCCAAGCAAATAGTTGTGGTAAAATTGCGACCACTACCGCAAAAGCCGGCAAAACGAAAGAAGAAAATCGACCTGACCACTTTGAATATGAATTGTATGGATGCAATTTTGAAGTGGTTGCCAATTGAAGATTTGTATTCGGTGAGCCGTACGTGCAAATCCCTGCAAAAATCGGCTGGTTTGGCATTTCAACGCAATCATCCGAACAGTTTGGTTACGATTGAGCTGATGGCTGACAAACGGATTCAATCGCAATACGAGGGAAAATATGATCTTCACTTCAGTACAAATATCCGGAGTATCACGATGACTTCGTACGTTTTCGATCAGGATTTGATGCCATTGTTCGACTACTTGAAGATGAATTGCTGCATCAATTTGAACGAGCTGAACTTGCATCGGCTAAAATTAGCAACTGGCATCGATTATGGGGCATCGATAAAGGGACAACTACGGAATTTGGAAAGCATTTCATTCGATGGCTGCACCGTTTCGGATATTCACAAACAATTCCTCAAGTATTGTTACCGGCTACAACATTTGCGCATCAAAGAAAAGCAGTTCAATGTCGATCGCTGTGATACGTGGATGCGTCATGTTTATTCATACCTTAATAGCTTTACGTTCTGGGGCTGTGACAGCGAAAAATACACCGGTCTCAGCATTTTCCTCGCCCATAATCGCAATGTGAAAAACATCAATTGCATGGGACAATTGAACATTTTGAAAATGATCATGGACAATGGCAAAGATTTAGATAACTTGGTCGTTAATTGCGATGCACCGGAAGACTTTGAAGAAATTCAGAACGTTTTGTTGGAGTACAGTCAGAAAGGCGTCTTCAAGCGGTTCGAATTGGTCTTCCGTTTTACCAGCGATATCGACAAAGTGCCAAAAAATGTCAAACACATCCGCAATTTGAGCGAATTGACAACATTCCAAGGATTTCATGGACTTTTTGCCGCGAACGAAGCTCTGGTTGATTGTGTGCTGAAGTCTCTCACCAATTTACGTATGTTTTGTTTCAATTGTATTGCGTTTTCATTAGAATTTCCTTACATTTGCCTTAGGTGTTCTTTACAATTCATCAAAAATTGTCTTTTCTGTCCAAATTTTCCAAATTTTCAATCATTTCCATATTTGAATTAACATTTTTTTCATCAAAATTCATTGAAACTGCTTCTGTGGCCCTTCCAACAGGTTCAATATCCCTAAAGCTGGCACTGGAACACCAATCAATGGCCTGGACTCTCGCTCACTTACCTCACCTGGATGATGCACGAATTTACATTACATACTCGTTGGACCATTTCGGTGCCACTTTTAAGCCATTGACCCTGCCGTTCGTTTTGATGTCAAAGAAGTTGAAGCAAATCGTCGTTAGTTTCGCCAACAATTCGTGTGTGACACATCGAAACGATATCATCGATTTAAATAATATGCGGCTCAAATCAAAAGGAGCCTGCCCAACCACAATCTACTTGAGCAGTGACGTTATTCTCGAATCGAAGTTCATCTATCCAACTGGTGGTCTGGTTCAAGTCAAACCAACGTCACAACTTACACGAAAATTGTACTTGGACCCATTTCTATTTTGAAGTTCCATGAATCAAAAGTAACACAGGTCACTTTAAATCTATGACATGAAATATCATTCATTTTTTTCTTTTTAAGTGTAAACAAACTAAGGTTCCAGTGCCATTCGATAATAATTAAATAGACTTTAAGTGATAAATAGCATCTTGAAGTTCAATGACAGCAAATCTGCCCAGAACAGTTTAGTTTAATACAAAAAACAATACTTGACCTCATTGCCATTTCTCTAGTTCAAAAGATTGCACTTTGAATTCGATATTTCATATTTCAACGACATACCTCTCCTTTGAATAATCTAAGACCGAATTGAATATATAGAAAAATTTACCTTTGTTTACAAACCTAGATTAGTTTACGTACACTACCGTGCAAAAGTTTGGAACCACTAGGTATTTTTTATACAAATTGACCATTTTTGGTGGACTCATCAACATATTTCGGAAACACCTGCACTCTTGATATTTTGTGCATAGTTTCTACAACGTTTCAATAGTAAATCACAGAGGTTTCATCAAAAAATATTCACGTATTTAAAAAAATATATCAATTTGAATTTGATCTGTTTTAATCTTCATACAAATTTGATCATTTTTCACACAGTACAAATTCAAATTGCTATATTTTTGAAAATCATGAATATTTTTTGATGAAACCTCTGTGATTTACTATTGAAACGTTGTAGAAACTATGCACAAAATATCAAGAGTGCAGGTGTTTCCGAAATATGTTAATGAGTCCACCAATAATGGTCAATTTATATGAAAAATACCTAGTGGTTCCAAACTTTTGCACGGTAGTGTATGCCATTGTAATTGAAATCAAATCAAAAAAATTGAATTTAAGACATTTTCCAATGGAGAATTTCCATCTAATTTTGGTAAAAAAAGAAGAAAAACTGAAAAAAATGGACCAATTCATTTTCATATTTACCTTGCACTCAATGTACCTAAAGGTACTTAATACCAAAGAAAAAGTAATGGTATTGCAATGAGAAATGCATTGTATTTTCTCAGTCATCAGTTTAAGTTTAGAAAAATACGGAATAAAATGCATGGTTCAACTGAAATCGAATAAAGAAAATGAACTCAACTCGAATTGCTGCTTCTTTCCTTTTTTTCCCTAAATAAATTTTTTGTCATCAAAATTCATTATAGCAAATTGTTACAATTCGAGTCAGAGTTGTTTTTCATATGCAACTGATTGAGTATTTAATTTCGTGTTGCGGTACAACTGCCGTCATTCAGTGGTGTTTGATACCAACACTGGCAATGCAGTGCATCGCATGCAACACATATACACTACATTGGAGCCAATCTCCTTGATTGCATTTGTAGTTGTATCCATACCACCCAAGCGATACACACAGATTATTTCACAACATTGGACGCTGTCAAGTGATGCTTCTCTAGAGTGTCAAGTGATGCTACTTTTGCTAATCGTACAAGAGTGCAAATTCTTTAACATTCTAAAAAAAAAGAACTAATTTGTTTTCATTGTTTCAACTTTAAATCATCAAAAGGTGAATGCTGCATAGAATAATTATAAATTGCTGGACTTTAGTTTTTGAAGTTTGTCGAAAATGTTAATTGTATCTGTTCGCGCAATATTTGTATGTGTGCTATAGATGTCAATATCAATTGTTTGCATACTTGAACACATTTTGTGTTTTGCTTGGATTAGATTTGGTTTTTGTCAATGGCAATAAGATTGAATTTATTCTGAAAAAAAAACTAAAATTTGGATATTTATTCAACTTATTCCAGCAAAAATGGGGCTAATTATGGCAAAAATGATCAAAATGATCGAATGGATAGTCGAATGGGCGATTCAGAAGACATTGCACGAAGAAGCAATTACTGAATTGCTTGCAAATCATGTTGAAAACGATGCCAATGCGCTGTCATTGACTGAAACAGCATCCCGAACTGAAGCACTGTCAACGGCAATAGATGAAACGTTTATGAACAACGAGCTGGTCAAACAGCAAAAACTGGCCAAAAATGTGTACGTACGAGGGATTTCCAGCGATTTGTGTATCAAAGACCCGGATGTTCGAAGTGCTATCTTTTTGGAATTTTGTAAGAAACTGCGAGTGGACATATGTCACAGTGACATTCAGCAAATTGATCAAGAACCAAGCGGTATGGTCGTGAAACTGCATAGCAAAGACAAGCAAAAATTAATCATTAGCCAAACGCTCGGCCAATACGTTTGGTGCAATGAATTGATTGAATTGGCCGCTGGTAAAAGACCATGGAAAATATTTGTGAACCCTCATATGACCCCTTTCTACATTGAAATATGGAAAAAAGCACATCATTTGAAAGAAGAGAATCGTTTACATTCATTCAAGATGACCGAAGATGGATTAGTTGTGAAACGAACACAAAGTGGCAATGGGAAAGTCATTTTGTCGAAAGAACAACTTTTGGAGTACGTTCAAAACGATTGAGTCAATCGATGATTGACCATCAACAATGGAAAAAAAACATGACATCTCTTGAAGAGAAGAGACTCTCTTTCATCTGAAATTATTAGCTATAGCTTAAGTCCATACAAAAACGGTTTGGTTTAACCAAATCGGTATAAATAAAGAAAACTGTGCTCCAATTTGAATTTTCAATAAAAAATAGCCAATCAATAGGCTTTTAATAAGAAAACCATGTGAATATGACTCAATTCTTGTGTTATTCATTCCTTTCAACTCACGGCTGCTTCTTATTTTTCAAATCTTTGGAATTCACTCAAGCGGGAATATCAAATTTCAAACATCAATGCATTTAGTTCGGTTGGGTCGAACCAGATTTCCAGTCGCTGAATAAACTGGAATAATGGAATACTGAAATTTGACAGTTAATATACGTCTAGAAATGAAACAAACTCATACTCACACACTCATACATATATACACATTCTCCGTGTCCAAACTGTCATTCGATGTGCATGAAGCTATGTGTTCGACTCTCTCGTTAGTTCGAGGTTCTAGTAAACAAATCAATTAGCACAATTTCAAACAATGAGACAGCATTCAATTCATTTCGATTGAGTAAATATGTAATTTACAAAGAAATATCCGAGTCAATTAATTCATTGCACGCAATAAAAGGCGGTTTTTGTGGCGGTCAATCGTTTGAAATGTTTTTGCAGTATCTTGATTGTGTGTTAATTCAATAACAAAGTTGTGGTTTGTTTGTTTGTGTGAGTGTTTGCACACACAATATGTTTGCTTCAAAGTGAAAAGAGAAGTGGAATTCTGCATCTTCAACCAGTTTGTGTTCGTCAGCCAAAGGTTGCACACATTCGTGCCGTGTGCTGTTGTTTCGAAACACAGCGAATTAATTGTATACAATTTCAAAATTTTCATTCATTTTTACTTTTTTTTTCGTGTAAAAATATCGATTTTTCCGTGTATTTCGAAAATGTGATTGCTTGAAAGGTGTTGAAGTTAGTTTTTTTTTTGTGCAGAAAAAAAAGAAAATTGTTCCCGAAAAAATGCATAGTGCTCAGTGGGACATACTAGTTAAATGTATCGTTTTAATTAAGTGCACAAAAAACGAACAACATCCGCATCGCGGCAATTATTGATCAATACGAAACAACGACCACGACGACGACCGCCTCGATGATGAAATCCAAAATGGCAATTAATCCACTCGGAATTGGGTTCATTCAACGTTGGCCACATTTTAAATTATTCACCGAATTGATTATTGTTTTATTGGTAATTGATTTGGTGGCTGGACATGAGGATTATAGCAATTTCAAGCATCACAGCAATCATGTTTGCAATCATCAGCATCCAAAGGCACACGAAGTAAGAGATACACTCAATAATTTCGTGTGTGAAATGTTAATCTTGCCTATTGCTCTCTCTCTCTCTCTCTCTCTATCTATTCGTTTTATTGTCCGCATTCGGACCTGATTTTTGGAGCTCAGCGATTCGTTCGCAAATCATGTCTGTGTGTGAGCTTCGGAGAGTCAATTTTTGGCACAACAAAATCTCTATCGCCGTATGTATCTGTCGTGAAAAGTGAATGCCACTCGATTTTGGAATGAATCTCTCGCTCTCGGTACTCGGGAGCGTAATTTGGTGATCGTGCACGGCATGACACGGCACGGCCAAGTCAAAAACAATTATCATTGAATCGATCGACATGGTGCTGAGCGAAAGCGTAAAATACTTTCGCAATGTGGGCATAAAGTAAAAGCAACTTCTACATCTATGTGCGGTTGTTGTTGTTTTTTCTATCTTTTCATCTTTTCAAACAACAAATTAATCAAATGTAATTTCTTACTTCCGAACGCGTTGTAGTGAAGGCAGCAAAAACAACAGAAAACATGTTTTATTTCATTAATTTCATGTGAGTGGATGTAAAAGTCAGTGTCTGTCGTCAAGAGATCAGAGCAAAGTATTTTCTAATCAGCAAATGGGAATTGGATTCAAATTGGAGCAGCTCGTGTGTATATGCTATTTACTTTTATTGATATTGCGTTCTCCAAAAAACTGCTCTGCAGTTGTTAAGGTCGTTCAAGGACCTTCACAAACACTATTTCATCATGGATATCTGCAATAGTGTCTCTTTTTCTTACCTCAATACAAAGACATTTTTAAACTCACCATACGTTCCGTTTTTTTTGCGCTCAAATTAAACATTTGCCCATGCTCACCGTTCCAAATGAGTAATTTGTCGCTCGCAAGTAGCTATTTTGTACACCTAGTTTTTCTACGCACTCTGTATTTTTCTCTCTCTCTCTCTCTCTCTCTCTCTCTCTCTCTCTCTATTTCTCCACCGTTCCAGCTAATTGTTCGCAACGCACAATTTTTGCTGTGGTCGAACTGTATTGCTGTTAGTAGCTCATATGCAATATGCTATTGCTGTCATTTAAACCAATGACAACGTTTTATCGATTCAATTGTCATACACTCTATTTTTAAGATTTGGTCCAAGTTTTGCGCGCGTATTAGTGTCGAAAACTAGTTTTTGATCGGTTTTTTTCTCTATTTTTAAATTGGCCATTTCGTATCATGGATTCGTATTGAATGAGAGATACGGTTAATTAGTAATGTCCATTGATGCATACTAAAGCACGTGATTCTATCTTAGATGCCTCATTTCCCGTATTCTATTTGGGTTTGTATATTTTTGCTGTTGCCACTGGTGTTTGTTCAATACTATCACTTTGCGTTAAATGAAAACGGGCGTTGAATCATGCAGAAACTTCATACACCATTCGTATTATTACTATTATTATCTAGGTGAATGAAGCAACAGCATTCAATGAACACACAACAAAAAAATCATAATATAATCGAATGGAAATCTTTAGGCGATAGCAATAATTTGCCGCTTCAATATCGCACCGTTGAAACATATATACATATATATGACTGTTGTTGTTGTTCCAGTTACAACTTGCATTCAATATTTTCAAACGTATACCAAATTCGAATTGCACACGCCAAGAGATGATGGTGAAAGCGAATCAGCGCATTTTAAATCAATGCTTAACTAAATATATATGCTATTGCAATCATTTTAGTTTGGTTGGCTGTTGGTTTGATAAAACGTAACTGAATCCACACACGTTATTCAATATCATCTTGTTCAATGGCAATTTCAAAATTCGTTAATCGTTTTCAATTTCAGAAGCAAATTGAGAAAATTTTACGATCTTGAACTAAGGCAGAATTGGGGAGAGAAAGAAAGAGAGAAGATAATGAGGGAGAATGAGCGGGATAGACCAAGAATGAGCGAGAAACAGTGAGAAAGAGCGATTGATAGATACAAAATGAGACAGAGAGGAAGAACGACAAAGAGCGAAAGAAAGATTCAGAGACAGAAAATGAGACTGAGGGAAAGAGAGCGAAAAAGAGAGCGAAAGAGAAAACAAGACAAAGAGTGAAAAAGATTAAGATAGAAAGAGACAGAGCAATAGCAAGCGCGTGAGATAGCGAATGAGGAAAGCTATACAAAAAACAATGGATAATGATTTCGCAATGTTATGCTTTGTTTATCGCATTAAAATTCACTCATGCAAATTTATGCTCTTCGAATAATAACAAATGCACGTGATATGACTCAGAAATAATCGGATCTAATTTGAAAATTTTCTACCAGGTGATTTATGGAGCTCAATTGCATAGCGAACCCGCGCACATTGTGCACAAACGGAGCATCGACAATCCCGTCAGAATTTTACTGTATTACGATGAATCCGTATATAGGTGGGTATCAATGCCCGTTGATACACTTATCAATACTCTTTGACACTGTTATGCAATTTTAATGATTTCGCATTTTTTTTTCTTTCCTTTTGTTCAACAGATTAAGCGCTGACAAATTCGAATTAATTAATGTAAGTGGATGACTCAATATGTCAAGGCGATATTTTTTTTTAATGATTAACACATTTTTGCATTTTTCTATATTTTCTTCTATTTTTTCCTTCATTCCACCTATGTACTCCAATTGGAGTACTACTCCAACACATTCGACTAATTTTAATTTAATTTTTCGTTCAAACAATAGAAAACCATTCTTCCACAAGCCGTACAATTTTGGGAGCAAACACTGATGGTGCGTGAAACGAAAGGAGTCATTAGATTAAACAGGTATGGCCCAACCTCCGAAAAAATAAATACACTCAAATGGCTAATTAACATTTTATGATTTTGTGTCAAAATAAAAACGGTTTTTGTTGCGTCATTGCAGAAAATGTGAAAGTAGCCAAATATTCGTAAAAAATACGATAACTCATTGTATTGACTCATGCAAGCGGGTGACGATGTGCGGTGAGGTTGAAGTACCTGAAAAGCATTTGGATGTGTGTCGGACTTGTAATGCGACCGGCCATGAGTGTAAGGAGAATTCGGTAGCTGGCGAAGCGGGCGAAGGCATTCACAATGCGGATTTTATATTTTATGTGTCGGCACGACAAACGGAACGGTGTCACAAAGGTGCAGCCGCCAAAATGTTTATATCTTGTTTTAATTTCTCTATTTTATCGTTGGGCTTCCCAAACTCAGTAGACACTGTGATGATCATTTTAAACTTTAATTATTCTTGATATCGGAAAAAAAACAATCAAAAACTTTCGATCAAACTTTCAAAGGTCTAACGGTAGCGTATGCGGCACATTGTCAACAGGAATCAGTTTTGGATCGACCCATTGCTGGTCATGCTAATTTATGCCCCGACTCAATCAGTACAAAACCCCAAGAATTGGATACACTGCTGTCGACTGTAAAACATGAAATTCTGCATGCACTCGGCTTCAGTGTGTCTTTGTACGCATTTTTCCGTGATGAAAATGGCAAACCACGAACGACACGAAAACCCGACACAGGTAAACCATATCTGGATGAAAAGCTACAGATTCATAAATGGGGCGAAAGTACGATAAAGAAAGTGACGAGAAAGGATTGGGGCGTTAAGGGTGGTGTGATGAAACGGACAGTTGATATGATGGTCACACCAAGGGTTGTACAGGAAGTTCGAGACCATTTTGGATGCGAAGAACTAGAAGGAGCCGAACTGGAGGATCAAGGCGGCGAAGGAACCGCATTGACACATTGGGAAAAACGCATTCTTGAGGTAAGGATTTTGAGAAGCAGGACAATATTCGACTCAAAGCAGTAGATAAAAAAAATTGGAACTCGTTCTACCAGTTTCGCATCAAATGTATTACAACAAAAACGTTTGAAAAATCAAATTAAGAAAAGTTGGAGGGAAAAATTGATAGAAATTAAATTGTTGAGTCAGAATGAATTCAATTCTCAAAAAATTAATTTGTTCTTCATATTTCAGAACGAAGCGATGACTGGAACACATACTCAAAGTCCAGTTTTTTCACGCATCACATTGGCTTTGATGGAAGATTCGGGCTGGTACAGGGCAAACTACTCAATGGCATCACCGTTGAGCTGGGGCAAAGGTCTCGGATGCACCTTTGTTATGAAAAGTTGCAAAGATTGGATCTACACGCAAACAGCGAGGTAAGACATTGAACTTATGTCAAATGAGTCACATCTTATATCAAACAACCAACAGTTTTATTCCAAACAATTTTCTGAGGCGGTATTTTTTCTAATCAAATGGTCGAAAAAAGAATTGACAAATTATGAAGGACAAATGCAATTGTTACCCTGAACGAAATCACCTTTATAGAGGAATATGTCCAGAACATTTTATAAATTGTAATCTTCATCCATTCCAGAGGTCGATCCATTCATCCGTTTTGTTCGAAAGTGAAGCGAGATCCCTTGCAAACCGAATGTACGGATGATCGAAATTCGGTTGCTCTTTGCAATTTGATACGGCACGAGTACCCATTGCCGACACTCTATCAAAATTTCGATTTTATCAATAATGTTCCGGAGGGAGAAGAGGAATACTACGGCGGTTCGGTTACACTGGCCGATTTTTGTCCCTTCATTCAAGAGTTTACATGGCGCAGCAAGAATGTAATTGTTCGCGGATCTCAGTGCCAATTCGAAGATAACAATCCAAGTAAGGCAAATTGATCTTGACATTTTCAATTTAAAACTCACTTCACACCATATTTTAATTACACCAAAAGGCTAATTGATTTGTCTATTTTGTTTTCATAGAGCCCGAGAAGAACTTTGCACTTGAGTCGTACGGAAATCATTCGAAATGCTTCGATCATACAGATAGCATGTGGGAGGAGCGCTCTTGTCGACAGACTCGTGAATGGCAGCATTGGGGCTCGGGATGTTATAAATATCGCTGCGATAATGGCCGATTACATATTTTGGTACGAGCATTTTTGCTTAATGCTTTTTTTCTGGTTCAATATTTATTAAATATTAAACCAGATATTATTTAATTGGATTTTGTTTTTTCAATTATGATGATTCCGTATGATTCTATATTTAATTTTGAATTTTAAATTTTATTTTTTTATTCAATGTTTGATTTAATTTTTTTTATTTCAAAATATTTTTCTATTTTGTTTTTAATTTAAAATTTGAAAAAATTCATTCTTTTTCTTCACAATTTAATTCCCAATTTCAGTCAATTTATTCTAATTGTTTTCATTCAGTTTATTAAGTTTGTCTGAATTATTGAAAAAAGTAACCTAATCTGCTTCATCCATAATTTTCAGGTCACAAATTATTCGTACGAGTGTTTCCATCCCGGTCAAGAGATTGCTGTTCGCGTTATCTCCGGAGGCTGGCTCCATCGCGGTTCTATTCGTTGTCCTCCATGCCACGAAGTTTGCGGCGCCGACTTTGCACTGAAAAATCAAACGTGTAAATTGAGCGAAGAGGCTCCGCCCTCGAATGTTTTCCATAAAGATGAACTCCAGTGTGGTTCGGCTCATCTGATACCAGCATCCATTCCAAATCAATTGTTGTGTATATTCCTTTCCATTGCAATCATTAGCAAATTAGTTTAGTTCGTTTGACCGTGTCGCTTAGCTGCATGGCAACGGCAAGTGTTCGTTTTATGTGATTATGAGTACATCAGTCCGGCTGTACGATTTATTCTACGTTGACATTCAATAGTTAAGCTAAATTATAAACTGAGATATGATGTAATTCCACAAACTATTTAGAAAATGAATGATTTACGATTAGAGAAATATTGAAAAGAAACAATCGGTGGTTTTATTTATTTGTTTGGGTAAGAACTATTTTCTTTAGGCTATTTCAAATGTGTCATGGTTTTGAAATTATTTAGAGCATTTTCTTGAAATTTTTTTTTTTCATTTTCTTTATATAAATTTTCATAGATACATTGATTATAATTTTTTTTTTTTTTTTAATTGTTGACAGTGTTCGTTTTTAATTGTTCATAAACAAAAAAAAATTATGACAAATTATTCTGTTAAAACCAGCAAAACTAATGCAAAGGTATCATCTCTCTAAAAATAATCTAATGCATGGTCCATTGTCAATGCGACTTAAAGCAAAAGCATCGCCACAATCTTCGACGATGCTACACGGATGAGCCTTATGTGAGTATCCCAAAAACAGGTTAGTTCTTCATTGAACAATGTTCAATAAATGAAACTCATCAAAAAATGCTCAATTCGTCTGCTGTGACAAACTTCAGAAAGAAAAGAATAATTCCAATTTTTTCATAAATAAACTAATTTGCTGTTTATTGCAGTATGTAATCCTATAAAATATAGTCTATAGACGTTTTGTCACATGTCTAAAATTTCACATATTTACTAAATTTATTAACTTCAAAACTGAATTCCAAGTAGAGTATCTGAAATTCTCAAAGAAGCTATGAAAATCATCCGGTATTTGTCATGTTTATTAGTCAATGAATTACGTTAATTACAAATCTAGTTTCCTAACATTTTCAAGTCTGTACAAAAGTCTTAATATAATCTCATATGCATTTTGGTCAATGCAACCAGTTCACTATAGCCATCACAGCGATGTCATCGCTTATGGCCACGTTATTTTCTTTCGTTTACTCTCGGTTGATGTTTGGCTATCGTCACTTTCCTGCAATGAAAGTCAATGAAAATCAATTAACTACGAAAAAAGAACAAAAATTCTATTTGGTTTATAACGTACCATTGGTGTCGAATCGCCTTGTCGTTTATTATTTGTGCTAAGACGTTTGGTGTTAATCAGTCGAATTTTCTTACACGCATTTGTAACCGTTTCCACGGTTGGTGCTGTGATCAATTGATGTCTGGTTCGTTTGTTCTCATTTTCTCTCTTCACACCTGATTGAGTAACAGGTTTCATGTCGACGTCGATTACATTCGATGTGGCTCGTCGTGACTTTGGCATCGCATACAATGAAAATAGCTTTAGCAATTCTTCACGCGGTAGACTTGACACATTTTGATTGGGAAATCTCTGTGGAATAAATACAAATTTTAGGTGCTTTTCTTTTGAAGAACGAGTAAAAAACACTCACCAATTTTAAATGACTCCGAAGATCTTCGGTGGTCATTAAATTCGGTTGAAGGTACGAGAATGTGCTCATTTTTACCATAAAACCATCGGATAGTCTAACCTTTGAGCTGCTCAAGCAAATAAATATTGTTTACATTCTGACAAGCCAGTGACAGTTCTTTCCAATGGAAAATGCTGGACTAAGGCAACACTAGTGTTGGAAACGATTGGGAATTGTGCTGAGTTCATACGGGAAATGTTCCACTGGAAATGTCAAATATATCAAAGACAACAAGAATTTGTATCAAAACAAAAAGAATTGAACTTGCTTCTCTCCTCCCATTCTCTTCAAGAGAGTCATTCTAGAGATTTCTTATAATTTTGAAAGAGTTCGGCATAATTGTTTGTTATGACAAGAATAAATCTATGAATTTTTCTTCACCTCTCTACACAGTCTCCAATGAAGCCATGAAAACTTTCCATGTACAATTTTCTCCATTGGACAGTAATGAAATTCAAAATGCTCTCTTTTTCGTTCCATAACATTTATTTCCCCAAAAACATTCTTAACTCTTTTTCTTTATTCTTCTTTACTGGTTGAAGCTTGACTGGTGGCGGCGGCTGCCTTCTCCTTCTGTTGTTTGGCAACGGCCTGTTGTGCTTTACTCAGATTTATGAGTCCCTCTTTGGCATGGCCTCTTATTTCCGCTTCCACTGAACGATTCACATTTTTCGAAACCATTTGCTTCAGCTTCTGGTGCTCAGTGAATTGTGTCTTTTTCGATTGAATCGGAGCGTCTAGAATGATAAATAGGTAAATGGGGGGGGGGGGGGGTGGCTCAATGAATTACGGAAATCATGATTAAAAGCAAAAAGTTTTGGTTTTTGTGGAAAAAAATTGGGTTTTTGTTGGTGGAAAAGGTTGAAAGTATAATCAAATCAGTCAAGAATAAGCTGATTTGGAGTAAAATCAAGGAGATTTGCAAAATACTCACTGGAACGTCGTGTAAAAGCCTTGCCTTTTTGCTTTTGCTTTTGGTTCGGCACCTTTGACTTGACTTTGAACTTTCCTTGGGCCATTTTGGGAAGTTGTTGTAGCTGAAAATGTAAGTAAATATCACAATTTAGCTCGGTATCATAAACGAATAACTCGATTTCACAATGAAAATTGGTGAATTTAGATCTAATGATTAAAATGATGGATTCTTGAGATTGCAATTCAAAATGAAACACCCTTAATACCTACAGTTTTACTTGAGTTGATTTCAATAAAAACAAACGTATCGAGAGTCGATATTGTTTAGCAAAACATGTGCCAGTGTTTGACAGTGACAATTGTTGTCAACAACAATCATTGGAATAATTTCTGTGTGCAAATAACAGATGGCGTTGATCGTCATGAATCGAACATTGATTTCTAAATTCTTGCGAAAGAAATGGATTTTATATATCAAAAGTACTTGAAAACAGAGAATAGAAACGAAGATTCAAATCAAGTAATAAATTCAAGAACGTCTTTCCACTTCAGCGCATCCTTTCAAAAGCATCCACTCATCATAAATCACTTGAAATCGGCAAAATCAAATTAATCATCATTGATGATTGTTGTGACGTCTTTACATTCCCCTACTTATTCCACTCTCACTCTCTCGCTCGCCAGCGCAATTCTCCGTGCATAGTCCATTGGACTGTCAAGTGTTTGTTAATCAGTTGAGTCAGTGAATCAGTGAATGTAACATGTAAATTGTATTGTGCCAAAATTAAGTGCAATCTCCATATTGGAAGGGAGAGCGAAAAAAACCATAACAAAATAGGAAAATTTTGTTTGAAAACAAAGCTTCTACATCGACGATACAGAAGAAAAAAAATCAATTCCTATAGTGTATTTTGCGCATATATATATTTTTCATAATAAATTCATTCTCTCCCATTAAAATTGTTTTGGGTGAAGTGTTGTTGTAATTTATCGTCATCCAAAAATAGTCAGTAATTGATTTTTGGATAGAGAGTGAGTGTGGGACTGAAGTGAGTGGAAAAAAAATTGATTGATATTGATATCAAGTGACATTTCGATTTCAAATCACTGACAAGTGCTACACGACAAGACATCTGCTTGCTTGTTTTTTTCCACCTTTTACCTTCAATTTTTTTTTGCATCCAATGGTATTTATTGTTTGCGGTTAGAAATGAATGCGCAAAAAATGGATGAAAAAACGCTCGACTCAATATCAAGCGATATATCAGTGGTTGATGTGTACGATTTAGCATCGGATATCGGCAAAGAATGTGAAAAAATAATTGATTGCTATGGTGCAGAGGCGGTGACTGCCTTAATGCCGAAGGTTGTTAATGCGTTGGAAATGCTTGAAACCTTAGCAAATCAAAATGAAAACGAAAACACAACTATGCAAATGCTGAGCGATCGGGTGGCATCGTTGGAAAGTGAAAAAATCGAACGGGCTGTTTATCGAGAAAAACTCCAACGGGTAGGTTTTGGGTTATAAAACCCATTTTTATGACAATGACGGAATTGGCTTATTTTCGTTGAGAGAATTCATTTATTTGACCCTAAGCGAGAACGCAGTGAATTATTTATTTTTGTAGTAAACAAGTGATATTGATTAGACAGCATTCATGAGATTCCTTCTTCGTACGGATGAGGTTGAACTTTTGATACGAAGACAAGCAAAACAAAGTCGTATATATTCATCATACGATGCTGGTGTACCAAAAGTTTTTGGTGTACCGATGCTGATGGAGCACAACTTGTGATTTTATTCTTTCTGTATATAAAACAAAGCAAACACTATTCCAATCCACGTTCCAACTTACTAACGCTTAGTTGGCAAACAATTTTGTAAGGCAACACGTACCTTGGCTTAAATCATCATTGCGTGACCTTCAGTAATATTACAGTTTCGATTATGTACACAATCTTTAATCTAACAACATTCATACAGACATCTCCATCGCCGCAAGCCGCATCGAACCGTTAATTTACTCTTTTCGGTTCACACAATTGTGGTCTCAATGTCGTCGGGGTTTCGTTTCGAAATGGAAAGCAAACAAACACGATTATCGCTCATCACACAGAGCTATCGCGTGCTATGTTTACATCCATTGTTGTGGGTTAGACTATGACCGATGCATCGATTATATATGTTTTCGAGAGCGAACAAAAAGTTGATTTGAATAACTGGTATGAGATGTATGTACATGCACACAGATAGACTATCTAAGATATTGTTGTCATGATGGATTTTGTGTTTTTTTATGATTTTCGGACCAAGTTATTGAAATATTCAAGATTCGATTGTCGATGCATATATAACATGAAGATTGCTCACAACAATGCTCCGTATTTAGATAAGACGCAATGAAAAGTAAATATTCCAAACATCGATGTTTGTCACTACAGCTGTACTGTATCTAACATTTTGTTTTGTCACTACAATTATACTGTTTTATGTGAGTATTAGGGCGGGTCGATTTTTTTTTCGACCAAATACCTATGATTTCCGTGTTCTATGGGTCATTCCAAGAAAATTTGCCCAAGGAACCATATCTCTATCGTTAAAATCGAGTCTGCAAGTTTTTTCCTGTAAGTATTTTGCGCACCTATGAAGTGTCAATTTCATTTTCACATCCATAATTCAAAAACTATTGATCGGATCAAGTTGATTTGACAACCGTTGGAAAGCTGAGCTTATTCTGATCAATTTACATATAAAAATCATCGATATTTGTTATACGGTTCAAAAGTTATCAGCATTTTTCTAGATTTTTGGACGTTTTTTTGTGACTTTTTTACTGATTTCGTCCAAAAACATTACGTTATCGGCCATTTTTGGGCTGAATCTAAATTTTAATTCAAAGTACAATTAAAAACGAAGATTAGCCCTAGGCTATGAACATTTTTTTCCCGAAAAACCCTCTCTTCTGCCCTGAATTCGCCTTTGAAAGTTAAAAAATCTCACCCCCAACATTTTCGACGCATTTTTCACCCCTTAAAACTCAAATAGGCAAATAGGTTATATCCCACAGAAGTTGCGCCTGATCCTATAGATTCCATTGGCACATAGTGTTGGCCCCCCATGTTGCCCCAGTTCGAAGGGCAGGGGTCAAAATGTGAAAAAAGTAGAAAACTACCCCAAAGTGGGTAAACCTCACCCCTCATCCCCAAAATAATTGCATTTTTGGATTCTTCGTCGAAAATTAGCTATACCTCCCAAACATTAGTTTTTGATAAAACCCCTCACTTTGGCCCAAATACATCTCTGAATGAACATTGGGAAAATTGATATTTTTCCATACA